TTGTTAGCATTTACTAAAGAGTTTAATTCTTTTATAGATACTTGAGGCTGATGGGTGACCCATTTGTCCACCTAAAAGTTGTCATCATTTTTAAGATTAAGTGAAACTCAACAGCTGTTGCAAAGAGCAAAAATTATTTTTTTTTTTTATTGAGTAAAAGCAGAGGTGATCTAAATACCCCTAGAAATCCTGATTTTTAAATAAGATAGTTGATTTCATTTTCTCCATCCTCCAGTCATGTTCTGTGCTGACTGTTCCGTAATTCTCTTTCTGATGCAGGCACTCGCATGTGGAGGGAAAACTTCTGTCTGCCCACAGGGCACTTTGAAACCCTTAGACCTTGCAGTACCTTCTAGTTTTTTTGCTTTAATTACTGACTAGGCATGTACACGCTGACTCTGAAACCAGAATTTTGACTCACAAAGAGTATAAATTTAATCTGGCCTAAGTGGAGATAATGAGTGTTCACTGAAATTTATGCCCCCCCGTCTGGGGCTGAATCAAGCTCTAACACCACTGGCACTGGGACAATTATGTAAGGAGTTTGTGTACATGGTCGTGGATGTTGTTTGTCCGTTTAATTTAGCTGAGGCTTTTTCTCTGCTGTGATAAGAGGGAAGATTTAGCCCCTGTTTAGCAACAAGATGAAATTCCCCATTTAACTTCTGAGTGAAAGCTCTGGGTTTTTCCAGTAAGTGTGTGTAATATAATGTGTACTCAGTCCAGTTTCTTGATTCTAGACTGAAACCTTTCATTATCGTTATGATTTTTTTTTTTTTTTTTAAATCTATAGAGGTTTCTTAGGAGTTTTCAAGTACAAGTGAACAGTCAAGAATAGGAAATAACGGTAGCTGACCATGAAAATGGGTTATTTTGGGTGTAACAGTTTAAAAACTTGCAAGAGGGAAAACCCAGACACCCTCTTCATGCAACTCTCACTAGAACACTTTGCAATCTCACTTTAAGCTCTCACGTTGCCCACGTTTTGTGAATGCCCGAACAGAATTTTCAAGAGTGAGTAGTCTTTATTTACTGCACAGCTACCAAAGTATGTTTTAGTACTGGTTTGTGGTTCAAATGCCCATTTATAAACATCACTGACCATCTTTCATTATGAAATGTTGTGTATTAATACTGCTTTTAAAATTATTGGCAAATCTGTTTTCTCATGATAATCAGTCACTTCTAAAGCACAAGCCATAACATCTAATATATAATTCACTTTAGTGGAGGCAATTATGTTGATTGCAAAATCCATCAGAATACACTGGCTCTAAAAATAAGAGTGTATGTGGCAGTCCATATTTAGCAAATTGAGGTTATTAATCAGACCATGTTCCTTGCATATCATTCATCCATATGTTAAGCATTTTTCAGCACCCTTGTCAGGGAGCAGCAAGAGTGGGCAGCTCTGCAGGGGAAGGTATGCAAGAACCGAGGGTGGCAACAGTGCAGGCAGGAGCAATGTCCTCATGACAAAGTCTGAAGTGACCAGGAAGGTCCAAGGTCAAGCCAGGAATCCAGGGCAGAGCTGGTAACTTACAGGTCTGGTTAGAGGCATATCTACAGTGTAGCTCAGACTGGGGCCAGGGGAAGTAGCTGGGTTTAAGCACACCTCCTGGGCACAGGGAGCCTCAGTGGAGACCCTGGATGGGCTGCTCAGGGCAATTACAACTCCTTGGTGTACTGAGGGCCCTGACAGGGACCTTCTGGAGGATAAATAAATAGAAAATTATATAGCGAAAGAGAAGAGCTTTTAGCTGGAGACCTTGCCTGCAGATTCTACTTCTGTATGAAGCTGTAAAACCAGTGACAACTCATACAAAGCTGGGATTAGAAAAGCAGGCACTGTCATTCTCTGAAATGCTGAAGGCTCATGACTGCTTTGAGAGGGAAACTGACTGACATCCTCCCCAGATGTTCAAGGTCAGTCTACTGGACACAAGCATTTACTTCATACGTGTTCCGGTGCAGAAGAGGAGTGGTACAGATGGGATTATCTGTATTTCAGATCTCATTGCTCTAAAAGTCAGAAGAACAAAACCTCATTTCTCCGTGTCTTCAAATGTTCTGCCTGAAAATGAGAGTGATTTTGACATTCTTCTTGCTTTCCAATGTGCTAGTGAATTTTGTTACAGGCAAGCCAAAGAATATAACGAGAGTGTGAACTGGTGAACTCATATTCCTGAGCTGCTGCCAGCCTCTTGTGTGACTACAAGTAGCTCTTAAATAGATCCCCAAACATGCACTTCTATAATAAAGATGTAATTGTTAGCACATAGCAATGGCAGTAAATTGAGTCAAAGAGTAGGAATGTCCTTCAGGACTATTTTCTTCTACACTAGTGGATATGTTGTATTTCCTAAATAACTAAGCCTTTCTTGGGCATGTTCTGCCTTATCCACACTGGCACATAGTATTTCTGACATAAAGAATCCAAGCCACAGGTATTACAGCCTTTAGGCTTCTGAAAGGGAGGGGATCTGGATATTCCAGAGAAAAAAGGTCTGAAGTATGAATATGATTTTTTGAGTCTTGGCTAAGATATGCTCATAATGAAAACCAAACATTCTTATAAGAACTATTTGCAATCAAGTTGGAGCAAAAGGGTCATTAAAAGAACCCTGCAGGGAAAATACTGCAGTACAGTCACACGGTGAAGACAAGAGTTTTTGTAGACACAGTATTAGATTAATAATGTGGCAGGATAATTGGTCTCTCTTGTTCCAGTTGACCTGGTGGTTGTTTTGCCAGTGTTGAGAACTCTGTGATCTGAAGATGCTTTTTTGTTAAAACCTGTCCTGACGGAAGGAGGGACAGTCAGATATGTCTGCAGCAACGATTTTTGTTGGAGATAGCAGGAGATGCCAATCCTAAAATATACCCACAATGGGACTCAAGGAAGTGCTAAACTGACTAAGAGTACCTATAAAAGGACCATGAGAATGTGGTTTACAAGGGCTTAATCAAGTGCAGAGAACAGGGAGTTTATTTTGTTTCTGTCCAGAGAAATGGTATTAGACTGGTTGGACTAGACAAAAGTTGACTCCTGGAATTCTCAAAACTGTCTATATATTTCTATTAAATATGTATTTTATTTCTAATATTTTTAGGGAGTTTAGGGATTTACTTTTTTTTCTTGTTCAGTGAAATAACTGATTTTGAAGGAAAATAAAACAGAGTGTTTCACAGTAAAAGGACCTAAATGACAAAGGCAATCTCTCTCCTCGGTGTTCTCTTACCACTGTACTGATCGTGGATGAAACCTAGGTACAAAGGGTCCAGAATTCATCCCTCATCTTTTTGTGACATTTCAGCATTCATGCCAATTCATTAGTATAAGTGTATACTAATATTAAAATGCATGGAAACGGAGGCTATAGAAACTGTTTGTTTGCTATACTTGGTGTGTGATGCGGATTTGTATCTGTAGTTGTAGATTTTTGTAGACACATAAATTGCTTTGGAACCAAAGGGGATATGAGAGTGCAGGAAATAGAGAAAGAGATCATGGCTTCTTATGGGAGTGGAAAGTGAAAAAGTATGAAAGGAAATGGACCAGATAACACACGAAAAATGAAGGTTTGGGGGGGGGGGGGGGGGGGAAGTCAAAAACGGCATTAAAATAAAACTTCATTTTACATCAAGTAACACCTGTAACTGCAGCTGAAGTGCTTATCATCAGTCCCACTGAAATAACATCCACTGGAGTGGGATTGCATGCATTTGCAGGTGACTTGTCAGAAATAAATGTTTCCATGGAGTTGTAAAATATAATTGGTTTGATCACCTTGAAAATCAAAGCTATATATAAGATAAGCACTTAATTCTTCCAAGTGATTGAAAGAATTAGGTTCCTCTGTGGAGTTATTCCTCTTTGCTCCTGTAGTGGACAAGCTGGCAGTCAGGAAGTAGGAACATTCCTAACCATAACCATAAATATGGGCTCTTTTTGCTGATTGTAGAGACCATAGATAAGTCAAGGTTTTCTTACCTATACTGATCAAAAGATTCTACCATCTCACACATGAGAAGGTGCTCTGAAGTTATGAAGTGGGTAAATATTTCACAATAAGGAGTTGTGCTATGCTCATTGTCATACTGGTTGGGAAATCTGTACCATATTCAGATTTGATATGAAGTATTTCTTGATAAATAAAGTCTACTGCAAACGTACTTCATTCAAGGGTAATGGAGTGCATAACAAATTCAGGATCAAGCAGTGTGATGCAAACCACTGTGCTGTTTATGTAGTCTTAAGTTTCATTTTCATCCCTGTATCCTTTCAATATTTAGCTGTGAGTATTCCATTTTATTATTAAGATTCTTCTCTGTCTGAATGAGGTAGAAGCAGAACAGCTCTGCTGGAGGATTTTTGATCTAGAAAATAAATTAAATTGTGTTTTTTCTCATTGTATCTAATACATTATACACTTTTTTCATTTTTTGGTCTCATTATTTTCTGTTTTAAATATTGGTTTAGCAGACTAAGCTGTATGAGAATTGAATTTTATCTGGAAGTAATTTTTAGCTAAAATCTCGTTAGTTGAAATTTTGTGATTTCTAAATATAAAGTAAAAATAAATAAAACCATGTATACATGTTCTTAAAAAACTATTTGACTAGTATAGCAGCAGCTCCTGATAAAACTTACACATTATGAATTATACACACACAGTTTAAAAATGGTTTTGCCATTTTTCTTTAATGTGCTAGTTCCCTGGCCATTAAACAACCTTAACCCAAGTCTCTCATACATTATGTATGCAATGTCTGTTGCATAAAGCAGATTTTATAATTGTTTAATGAATCTCTGTATCTGACCCATCATTTTAGTTACAATACTGGTAGCATTGATCCTGTATTTAAATCTTTTTAGAATAGAGGGAGAAATTGAAACAAAAAAAGTTAGCAGTAAAATAGAGAAGAAGCCTCTAGATTTCTGGTGTGCCGTGTTTGTGAGATAGTAACAAATTCTGTGTTATTTTATTCTGTTCTAGCTGTTTACCTCTGCAAGCGGACAATGCAAAACAAAGCAAGGCTAGAGCTAGCAGACTATGAAGCTGTAAGTACCTGGGGAAAAGTAAATTTCTCTGCTGGGCCTAATGAGCATGTGAAATAATCTTGAGCATGAGAACTGTAGGCATTATGTGTGAAAATGTATTAGTTATCCACTTTTGCCAGCATGTGGATCTGACAGTGCTCAGTAGTTATAAATGCTGTTTGAGAGACTGTAGTGAAGGCTAGCTGGGCAAAAGATGAGATTTTGGTCCATCTCTAATTTTACTCTGCTCAGATCACCATGCCAGAATCAGAAATAACCATTCACAAATCCCAGATACACCACAAACGTTTGAAAGCAATTGTACTCTACAGTGCATAAGGTTTGATGAAGGAACTCTGACAACATTTTCAAAAGTATTTGATAGCTGTAGAAATATAAATCTCATTCTTCAGTGATGCTGGTGCTTGAGCCCTTGTCCTATCAGTTAGATAAGACACAAAAAGGATCAGACTAGAGGCACTTCCCACTCCCTGAAAGGTGTGCTGTGCCCCAGGCAAGGAAAGATAATTGAGGCCAGGAAGAGCAGGAAAAAGAGGGAGTTTGATTAGCTGATGAGGATGGCACTCGCTAAGGAGAGAGATGTCTTGAATTCCATCCCTATCCCCTCGGAAGTTCCTGAATTTTTCATGAAAATGTCAACATAAAATTCATGAACAGCCCTGGCTCTGTGCTGAAAGCTGTCCAGCTGTGCTACTGTGACATGATAGCAGGATAGTCAGTCGGGCCTCTCAACATGCCAAATACACCAGCCACAGCACCATGCTGACATACTTTATTGCTTCTTCTGGCACAAGCTTGCTTTTCACTGTACTGCGCTGTGGGGTATGCATAATTTTATACTTACGTGCATTAGAAAATTCACCTCCAGTATACAAGCCACAAGAGCCTTTGCTGGTATTGACACGATCTCTAGAAAGTCTCCTCTTCACTCTCTGCAGTCTTTATTTTCAGTAAGTATGTCACAGAGATACATTTGCAATGCATAGAAATACAGTTAAAGCAACAGTTTTTGTTAGGAAGTTTAGAGATAATTTTTCACTTAGTAAAAGCAGTGCAAGAAGGTAACTGGGGTCTTTTTGTGGGAAGATAAGAACCTCAGCCTTCTCCATGTTAACAGGCTGCATAGTGCTGCCATTTGAGCTGAGGGGAGATTGGAAAAGCTCTATTACAGACAGTTAAGTTGTTACAGTATCGCTGGAGGAAAGAATTTTGCTAAGATTTTACAAATCTTCTTCCTGTTATTATTAGTAGGCTGTAGGACATATACATTTCCTGTACAGTAGTGAAGAACTATAGTCTGCATTTTTTAAAAATGAGGATAGCTGTGGAGGTCTTGGAGGATTCCTATCCTACCAAAATATTGATAGCTTCTTATTACTGTATTTTAAATAAATTGATAGACAGCCAACATTTCTCAATGCAAACCATTTGCATAGGTGACTGATAGGAATTGTTATGTGGATCATCCAGAATGGAAAATAGTGCTGTTATCTTTCAGTATTAGATGCTTTCAAAAAAAGAATGCTTCTTTGTATTACAACAAAATTACTCATCCAGGACCCAATATATACAAATACTTCAGAAATCTCATGTTCTGCAGAAGGTTGCATCCACCCTTGTGATCAGAATTTCAAAACTGAAATAGTTGGAGCGTTCAAAAGTAGATAGATCTAGTATTCCATCCTGTTTGATGTCAAGCAAAACCTTTATATCAAGTAAGTAAGGTCCATTTACATTGGTACAGGTATCTTGACTTTTATTACATTGGAGCGGGAGGGGGCAAAGGGAGTGGGGAAAGATAAGCTAAAAGCTATTAAATAGTGAGTAACTTAAAACATAACTCGTTAAAAATGTGATGTATTTTCAGGAGAGTTTGGCCAGGCTACAGCGAGCATTTGCTCGGAAATGGGAGTTTATTTTTATGCAAGCTGAAGCACAAGCAAAGTAAGTTCCTCGAAGATGAGGTATTTTGGTTTTGCATGCTTTTTGAAGGGAGAAGAGGAGGGAAAAGTGATTATGCACTTCTTACATTTAAAAATACTCTCATTAACACTGTTTCTTTTAAATACCCCATAACATTGACAGAGTCGACAAGAAGAGAGACAAGATAGAGAGGAAGATTCTCGACAGCCAGGAGCGAGCGTTCTGGGACGTGCACCGGCCGGTGGTGAGTGCCAGCGGGGCCACTGATAAATGTTCACCTCTGTGGAGCATTGGGGTAGCCTGGGAACAAGTAAAAGGGCTGTAGGACCAGGAGTTGGGGCTTGCCTCCCTTTTTTTCAGGATCTGTAGTTTGTATCATTCTACTGTTGAAGACTGCAGATGTGCGTACACTCAGTTTGGGATTTTCAATGAATAAATTTGTTGTGTCTGAGTTCTTGAATCAGAAGATACCTGTCTTTGACTATTACCATCTCAAAGGTTTCCCAAGTATGAGTCACACAACTGAAATTATCAGCATAACTAAAAGTACTTTTAAATAAACCTGCCTTTTTTTTTTTTAACCTGCTTTTTTGCTTGCTAAGCCTTTCAACTTCACTCTGGTCACAGTTCCATGCTATTCTTAATGTACGTGAAGTTTAGATATTGTTGGCTTTGAGCTGTGGGAGTGATACACCATCTAAACAAGATTTGTCTGAGTTTCTTGTGAAAGTCCATCTGAAGCAAAATTTTTAAAAAAAGAAAGGTTCTTGCATAATCTACCTTTGAGAGATAAAACTTTGAGAAAGAATGTCAAATGTCACAAGACTTCTGATTAAACTGTTAGAATTCAATAATTACACTTTTTTTTTTTTTTTTTTTTTTGGTTTACTACACAACTACATCTGTTTTCTTTATCTAGAGTTAAGCTTTCATTTTCTGTGTAGAGTTTGCTATCATTACCAGTGAAACCAAATATGGGCTATATCTTCCACTGTGACACTGGGAAAAGATACTTAACTAATTGTTCTGGGGAAGTAAAGTTAGGTAATGGTACCTGTAGAAGAGGTGAATACAGTGAGAAAGTTTGAATAGAAAATAATGAAGTTGGACACGGTCAGCTTGCATTTGTGACTGTGGAACTGAAAGAGTGGTAGAAGAAATGGATTTTTTTGGTAGGATTTAGAACATCAGGTAGAAAAAATTATTTGAAGTGGAAGGTTGAAACCACAGGCATTAGATGCAAGAAGACTGGGACATTATTGCCTAGTCACTGGCATAAAATAAGGAAGGAGGACTGAAAACAAGCTGCCATCTGATGTTGATGGGAGCTACATATAGAATAGACACAGAAAGTTTCTATGGACCTGAGAACTTTGAAGGTGCAGACAGCTTTTATATTAGCTGCAGAAATGGATCTAAGGGGTTTGAATCTGGGAATGAGATGCTATTTCCAGGTTTGGAAGAGAAGGTGAATTGTTGAAGTTTTTAGTTAAGGTATAGGCAGACAATAGGGAGAGAATTAAAGGTACCAGGACAAGAGGAAATTGAATCTGATTAAGAGCTTTGGCTGATCTGTGGATAAGTCTGCCTGGTCCAGCAGTTGTTTTTAATCTGGCTGTAGACATACCTAGGAAGTATCAGAGGCAAAAGGCTGGCTTACAGTCAGCAATGCAGGCTCTTGAATTTAGGAGATATAAGAAGAATGGAGAGGTTCATACTTTGGGTAACCAGTTTCTCTCACTAGTTAGTTAAATACTCATTTTGAAAACTCTGCTATGAATTTTCCTGTCACAGTAAAAGCCAGAATCTTCTATTAAAAAGAATAAGAAATAAGAGGAAAAGACTGAAAAAAGGAAGGTGATGCTGGAGTTAATTACAATTTCTAATGGCTTTTCAAGCCTCTCAAAAGCACCCCGAAAACTCACCAAAATGTTGCTGCAACTCTGGAAAGCTAATTTTGGAAATTAGGTAATGTTTGAATAAGGACCTGGGGTTAATGCTTATTTTTAGTTATAGTTTTAATCTTTTGGTAAAAATTCAGTGACAATATTGTTCAGAATCCATCCCACTTTAATTTTTTCTTTTACTGAAAATTAATTTTGAGAACCAAATATTTTATTATTTGATTTTTTTGTTTAAGTGAATAAATAACTATTTTTCAGGGTTTTTTTTGCAGGTGTCCTGGTCCCTAGTTGCTTTATTTCTTACCTGACTGGCTACAGTGTTGATACAGAACCTTTACATATAGAATATAATGTATGTATATTACATGTGCATTTATTTCAAAAAAGAGATACTTTAACGTGATGAAAGGAATAGAAGAGGGAAGCAAGCCATCAGTCCAAAAGGACGGTACAGCAGTGCACTACAGGACTGGGAGACATGAAAAAAGAACAGCTATATGACAGTGAAACCGGGGGGAGACTGTAACTGAAGAAAAAGAGCATGATTTGGGTATAAGAAAGGTCACTGTGATGATAAGTTTAAAATAAAGGAAATGAACCAAGGTTTGATGTGTAAAAGAAGCACCTTTATTTCATGGGTCCCAAGTCAAAGTTAATCTTGCAGGTGGTTACAGAGACCGTAGAAGATTTATGCCATACTCTGAGACAGACAAATGCTTGATTGTTATCATGGCTATTACTTTGATCAGCTGGTGGCTGTGGCTAGAGCTTTTTCCTAGGTTTTCAGACTGAGATGATGCTTGGAGATGAACTGGAGAAAGTAGATTCAGAGAGTTTTTTCAAATTGTCACCTCTTCAATTTTCTTTTGAGGGACAGTTAAGAGAGTAGTTTAGGTCAGTTTCCATTCCAATATTTATTTAATTGCTGTTTCATTGTATTTGATTTTTTATTTTGGTGTGTATTTTAGTGTAATGTGGAGCATCATCTCGGTCATTTCTGCAAATTCCAGTCACTGCTTTGTGTAGACAGATCTTATCTTGCAGCTAGGAAGAGCATGACAGCTTCAGCTGTAGGTACTGCAGCCTGCAGACACATTCCTGAACAACTTTTAATCTTACTAGTTCAGACACCAACCATAGTAAAACCATGGAAATGTGTGTCAGGAAGAGCTGTATAAACTCCCTTGAGATCTGAGGACCAGACCTAGAATGAAGTCCATGACATTATTTCTAAGGCATAGCCAGTACCTAACATAGGTCCGAGATTAATATTATTCACATACAGGGACACATTTCTCTTTTGGTGGAAGAATAAACATATCTTTAAAGCCTTCCTTTCTTTTCCACTTGCCTAGAAAGTGTATTATTTTCATGACTTTGAAACTTCTATTGATAACAGACGATGGAACTGAGCGAAAATTGGTTAGGAGGATTAGGGCATTAGTCAAAAAGCAGTAACAAATCAAGCTAAATTGGAGAAGTCAGTTTCTTCCAGGCAAAAGAAACTAAGAAGCTGCTCGTCTGAAAAGAAATGTCATGCTCCAGATTAAAGTCTTCATAAAAGTACTCATAGCTTTCCTGAATTATTTTATCTGTTTAAAACCCATAATCATACAGTTGTTAAAAAGAGACAAACAGGTACTAAAACCGTAAATCCCCTGAAACATTCTCAAACCCGCACCAAATACAGGAGGAGCAGAATAGCTGCGGCTTGCCGTAAAATTAACGTTTAGGTAGTGAGCAAAGACAGCTCATGTCTTGCTGCTACAAACAATTCACTTTTCCTGAGTTACACATTAATGTGATTGAAATTAAATTCATAATAAAGTCCTGTTGGGTATTTATTGAGATTCAGGTTAATGCAGAATATAATGGAGGAAGTATCCTTTTCTCCTGAAAGTCATCTATATACATCTTACCTATAGTAAATTGAAAGAAACTTTTAATTTTTTCCAATGCCTCTGAACTTTGTCATCAGTCAGAATGTTGGTTGTATTGCAGTCCTACTTAGCAGGTTTGCGTGCAGTTATTTTTAAAAGGAAGATTTGAAATATGCAACAGCTTTCTAGGATGTGCTAGAAAACTACACTGGTATATGTCTCTCTCCAAAGTTTAAACTCTGGCTATGGTTTAATTACACTGTGGTATAATAAAGCATGAGCACGAGTCAAGGTGTGATCCAGTTCTTCCATTCTGCCATTTGTAGCTTGGTTAAACCTGATCTGCAGGACTTCTGTTCCCATTGCTACCACTGGCTTACTGAATGATGGTGGTCATTTTGCTTCTCAATGAAAAAACTGAATAGCAAATATCAAAAAGGGTTAGACTCGATGATCTTAAAGGTCTTTTCCAACCTAAATGATTCTATGATTGTATGAAAAACAAAACCAATATTTGTATGAGTTAATACCGTAAGACAAAGTATCCAGGGTGGGTATGTCTGGTAAGGACAGCAGGAACATTAAGGGCAGGTATGGGTTTAAGATAATTCACTGATGATGTAAAATTCAGAAATACCTATGATTTCTGGATTCGATGGTTTCATGACATTGTTTCCTAGTAGCAAACCAGGAAAACAGTAGTCTTTACACTGTTTAAAACTTGTCACACATCCCACACCATTTGCTTCTCTCTATATATAGTTTTTTTTATGCAGTTCTATCTCCATTAATCTAATTATCTGTTTATATTTTAAAATAGTATTTTATGTGGTCTGAACATGACCCTTAGTATCTGAGCCAGTAGGTAATGTTATCCTGTGTCTAGGGTCACGCAGTGGATACTTGCAGTTATTTGTTCTGGGTTTTCTTTTTTTACTTTCATTGCTTTTGTTTTTAATGACTTTTCCATCCTGTCCTTCAAGATCAGCCTCGAAGTCTCAGCTAAAGACTGAATTTAACTTGGCTAAGGTGGTGTAGTCCTTCATTTCACACTTTGCATGCTACAAATCCTAGACCAGGGCAGGCACTTGTTTAGCCATAGAACAATTCTGTCTGGTTTATCATAATATTTTCAGAAAGTTTTTAAACATCTCCAGGAAATAAATGTGAATCATGCCATCCAACAACTCTAGTGATGTATCCACATATGATTTTAATGTCTTCTTTTGCACCCGTTTCACCATGTGTCCTTACAAACAAGTTACCCCTCCAGCAGACAGGGAATGCAGCCAAAGCAACAATTTTCAGTCTCAGATTATTCCACTTCCGGTAATGAAACAAAGCCTTGTACAATATCTTATTTTCAGAAAACGGTTATAATGTTTATGATCCATACTCCCATCTGTTTGAGGCAGATATTTAAAATCCCTATAGCTAGCCTGCTAACTAAGACCTTTATG